TCGCATTTTCACCATTGTACTGTTCCAATCATGGACCTATTAACAATTTTCTACGGTCACTGTTACAGTTGCCATAAAATATTTGTATTGTTGTACATATCTGATCATGCCTCCATGGGCGTGCCTCGCGTAGTCGAGAATAAACTATTTATTTATTTATTTATTTAGCTTCTTCATTCTCCTGTTACAAGTCGTACGTGGGCAACCGCGATTTCGCTTCCAGCCGACTTTTACGAGCGAAATGGGCACAGCGTGTTTAGCGATGAGTAGGCATGCAAAGAATATGCCTACACCACCGATGTCTGCGCAGAGCAATTAGACTGCGCCTTGACCGGCAAGTCTCTCTGATCTGAAAATCCACCGTCGAACATCTTCAGTAATAGCATGTTTTTCCACCGTACACTAGCAATGCTCTAAACGTGATAAAAAACAGACAGCCCCTTAACATACTTTGCACAAACAGGAAGTCTCACAGCTAAAGAGCGGAACCCCTTCTTACTGTGGCGTTGTAAACTCCATTCTTCAGAGGTAGACCCAAATGGCCTTGACGCCAGAGATGTCGGAGACTTGCAAAAGCGACCTGAGCTTTAGAGAGACGCAAAGAGATCTCAACCGTTAAACCATTAAAGCTGAGGCAGCTTGCGATTAAAAAATTGTCTACCAGTTCCAATGAATGACCCGAAAGAGTAAGGGTGGGAGCTGCACCTACCCAGTCACGCAGCAAGAACGGGCACTTGCATGGTGCGCAGGTCATTCTAAACTCGGAAACAGACACCCCCAACCTACAGAGCACATTTTGGGCGGTCTATGAGGAATCGCAGATTACGGCGATGTTGTATGCATACTACAATCCCCCAAGTCGATCCCCCGGAAGCGGCTGTAGGCCACTGGGCTCGCAATTCTTTGGAACACTCACCAGAATTTCGTCCATAGCGCAAGTTAATAAGAAGGGGAAGCTGGGCAACCCTTCTCACTCCACTGGTGATATTAGAGGGGGGGCGAAAGTCCTCCGTACACCCGCAATCGGCCCAAAGTTTGAGAATAGATGGCTTGAAGTAACGTGCCATACTTCTCGGGCGCTTCCATTCTCAGTAAACAACTCTAGTGGGCAGCTCTGTTGACTGAGTCGAACGCGGCTCGTAAGTTTAAGAAAACAACAATCGTTGGCCGGCCAAATATTTGACGAGGCTCGTGTATTTGGCTGAGTGTAAAGATGTGATAGATGCAACTCCGACATGAGAGGGACCCAGTTTTCTCTTCACTTATGCTCAACCAGCATACCAGCCTGAGCCTCCTTAAAAGCAGAGCTCCAGGTACCTTGAAAACTACTCAGATGAGACTAATCCCTCTGCAGTTGACACAGTCAGTACGGACACTCATTTTGAAGATGGGCAGGATATCTGTTATACTCCAATCAGATGGGATGTTCAGTGACCCAGATCGCTTGGAGCAGAGGACTTAACTCCTGAACTAATGATGGATCGCCATATTTGAATAAAGTCGGAGGGAGTTCATCCGAGCCAGGGGCTTTGTAGCGCCTTAAGAAGCGATGCTAATGGGCAACCACAGCTTCAGACGGTGCTGAAGCTTCTACACACACCAGGGTAACTCTGGACTCCAGGTGGGGAACACCTTGGTACTGCTGGTTACTTAAACTGCTGCTTTAAATGCTCGGCGAAACGCTGGAGTCGGCGTTTTTGACAGTGGATTGGCTCACCAATTGTTTCGCATAAAACCGCTTACAGTCGGCCATTTGGCGCCAGTAGGTCAGATCAGGCGGAAAAGCTTACGGAAATTTCCTGAGGTGGGCGCTTCCTCCATCGCCATGCACCGCTACACCCACCAGACCACGCGATCTCCCAGATGTTTTAGCTCCGCCTTAGTAGTCATTCGTTGTGCATGGTATTTAACGCCAGTACGAACTGCTCGACGGGATTCGAGAAGTTGGAGGGTTCATGCAGAGATCCGGTATTTGACAGGACTACCGTTAAAGCCGCAGGCCAGAGCTTTAGACTTGTACATGGCACCGTGAATGTGTGTTCGGTGTGTTTCAATGTCTTCATTAAACCATCTTCAGCCTTGAGGCCAAGGCATGGTGAAACGTTCGCGAACGTTCGGGGAAACAGTTTTGCTACGTCAAGCCGTTTCCGGCGACGTTGATGGTAGTCACCAAAGTGTAGCGTGTACTTGGCACACACCAGCGCGTGATCCGAATTGAGATAGGTACTCCAGATTGGTTCGCAATCGTGTATACAGCCACGGCGGCGATAGATAATGGCGATGTGGTCAATTTTTGTCCACGGATGACTAGGTGATGGGGATCTCCAGGTGGCGCGTCGGTGCCAGGATCCCCATAAGCGAGTGCTCGACAGAAATAGACTGTGGTGGCCGCAAAACTGAAGTAGGCGAACTCCATTGTCTGTTCTGCGTGTGCCATGGCCGTGCGGACCATCGAGTTCACGTTCGTTAACCACAAGTCCACCGACCTGCGCGTTCCAGTCCGCAACGAGCACCAAGAAGTCGGTAAGGCGCCTTTTACGGAGAAGTTCGGCACGTTGACCATAGGACTCGTCCTTAACTGACACCTGGGTTACAATCGGTGGAGGCGTACGCTGCAACAATGAAAAGACAGCGTCTGCTGGCTTTGCGCCTAGACAGTCGCCCCGAGGTTTAATGTCGGATCGCGGATACTCGACTGTTGACAAGGAGCCCGTCTAGTAGCGCTCCTCAACTAGTGTGCTCAACGCAATCCCCACGCATGCATAACCAATGACTAAGGCAGATGAGTCTTCAGATAGCAGCAAAATGTAAATGCCAGTGGAATTCCCAGCCGGTGAAACTAGCTGCAACGTCGCTTTAGCGTCCTGTAATCGGGTCTCGCAAAGACAGTAGACACCAATGGCTGTCGTTTCTGGAGTGCGAGCGAGGGCGGTCTGTGATCCAGTCTACATCAGCGTCAGAACATTGAACTTGCCAGCTTGAATTGGGAACGGCGCGCTAGTAAGGGCTTGTCAACATCACTTGGCGCACTCTCGGACCTAGGCTCCTGGTCTGTAGGGTGAGAACGTTCAACCAAGGCGGCACAGTGATGCGAACTCAGACACGGTGGGGGGACTACGAATGGGTGAGTTGAACAAATGTGGAATAAAGAGATGAAACTGTGTTGCGGTAAAAAGTGGCTTGGCACTTTCAGTCACCAGCACATCGGACGACAATAGTTTGAGAGAATGAGAGCAGATGGAGCCGGCGAAGAATTGTTGAGACATCGCTCCATAGGTTGTGTAGGCGTGCTTCCTCCCGGTTCTCAGGCCGAGGACGGAGGCTGACTTAGGGAACCCCCGGAGCGTTGGGTCATAAAACACTCTAAAAGACAAGGCAGGGGGCGACTGATGTGTACAGCGAACTGTTTGGAGCGGGCTATTTGGGAGAGGATAGAAGGGTTTACGAGTATGGACAGACTACTCGAGGCGCCCAAAGAGCACGAATAAAGCAGCAAGGAGGCCAAGATTCCCTGGGCTAAGGAACTCGCCACAAAGCGTGATGGCCGTTGACAGCCGGGTGGCCCATACGATTTCATAGAATCCAGTGTCCAACGAGGTTGGTCATCTTCCATTCTTTAAGTACTCACTTCTGTGACCTGAAGTGAATAGCCAGTGATCCTATAGCCGGTCGCATTGGCTTTGACACAGCGTCTTGCTAGCTCCTGCGGTATTTAATGCGGAACCAGGTGACCAGCCATGAACATCAGCCTTCGCTGATTAACCAGTCTGTATGCACTCCCAGAGACGTTTCGTACGACCACCGAAAGGGTGTGTACGCTCTTGACCTCGTCACAGAAACTGGACAACGTGCTGCGATGATTTGTCTGCATTAATGATCCAGAGATATGCTGTGTGGTGCCTTTTGCACCTACAGCGCCAATCATATAAGCTTGGTCAACGGTTAGAGACCAGAGAAACTCAGCCTCCTGGCGCGTCTGGTTGGGGATTTTAGTGAGGGTTGCTGTTTGCTTCATAAAACGGACTCTCTGTAGCCAAGTATCAAAAACCCGCTGCTTTGTGATCAGATTATTGGACTTGAACATATGATCAGGAACGTACGTAAGCCGAAAGTGTGAGAAACGGATAAATAGGAACACGGCTAGGTGATGGGATGCAAGTGTCGCCCGAAGAAATTGTATTCGCGTTCGAAGAGCACTTAAAAGGTATCGGCAGTAGGCCGGTGCCAGTACTGATGTTTCGCTGCCGCGAAACCACCAATTGGCTGGCTAGCCGAACAACCTCCTCGTGGTGCCAGGTGGGTGTTTCGGGTTTAACCCGTTCCAGCTAATAGTTCGGCAGCAGTGTTCCAGGACGTGGTGGGTTTTCGCCTGGCAAGCGTTCTCCCTATAAAAAACCACAAATGTCTGCTTAACAACACTGTGACGTGGCGGTCGTGGCTTGCCACAAAATAAAGTCACTGCCCCGTGGATACCTGGATAATCCCTGCCAATCCACGGACACCAATCTTCTACTCGCACATGGCTGATGAGTGCAAACATTCAAGAATGGAGCAGAACGGTTACAAGCGCAAACTACCCAGCTACATAAACGCACACGCAATTACATATTTTCATACCCCCTGCACAAACAAGCACTGTTATGGCAAACATATCGGATTTTTGCACATTCTTGTTCACGCATTGTTTTGTCAAAGTGATCATGCCTGTAAAGGCGTGCCTCGCCTTGGCGAGAATAAAAGCTTTATTTATTTATTTATTTAATGTTCGCACGTGGGCTAAGGATACTGCTAGGGTAGCACGGTCCCTACACAGGCTCGAACTCGCGCCTTCCGATCACGAGGCACGCCTGTGATCCTTAAGGCTAGGGAACAGTATTCCTGTTTTACGACGGTGATGATATGACAGCCAATCCACCAGTCTCACAATACTCCCTTATTTCCAAATTATCCCCCCCCTAAACTAAACCATCCACAACCTAATAATTTCCCCACTAAATCCCCTACCAACCCCCCCCACAACCCCACCCCCCCCCACCCACCACCCCACCCCACACCCCCCCCCCCACCCCCCCCCCCCCCCCCCCCCCACCCCCCCCCCCCCCCCCCCCCCCCCCCCCCCCCCCCCCCCCCCCCCCCCCCCCCCCCCCCCCCCCCCCCCCCCCCCCCCCCCACCCCCCCACCCCCCCCCCCCCCCACACCCACCCCCCCCCCCCCCCCCCACCCCCCCCCCCCCCCCCCACACCCCCCCCACCCCCCCCCACCCCCCCCCCCCCCCCACCCCCCCCCCCCCCCCCCCCCCCACCCCCCCCCCCCCCCCCCCCCCACAACACACCCCCCCCCCCCCCCCCACCCCCCCCCCCCCCCCCCCCCCCCCCCCCCACCCCCACCCCCACCACCACCCCCCCCCCCCCCACCCCCCCCCCCCCCCCCCCCCCCCCCCCACCCCCCCCCCCCCCCCCCCCCCCCCCCACCCCCCCCCCCCCCCCCCCCCCCCCCCACCCCCCCCACCCACCCACCCCCCCCCCCCCCCCCCCCCCCACCCACCCCCCCCCCACCCCCCCCCCCCCCCCCCCCCCCCCCCCCCCCCCCCCCCCCCCCCCCACAAACCCACCCCCAAACCAACCCCCCCCCAAACCCACCAAACCACCAACACCCCAAACACCACAACACACCCCACCCCCAACACCCCCCACCCCACACCCACAACCACCCCCCAAACCCCCCCCCCAACAACCCTACCCCAACCCCCACCCCACCCCTACACCCCACCCCAACAAACCACCCCCCACCCCCAACCACCCAAACCCCCCCCACACCCAAAACCCCCACCCCAACAACCAAACACACCCTAACCTACCCACCCCCCCACCACCCACCCCAACACACCCCAACCCACCCTACCACACCCCACCCAAACCCCCAATCACCTACCCCACACAAACACAACTAACACCCCCCAACCAACTAACACCAACACAATACCCCCACACCCCACCAATAAAACCTAAACCCCCCCCACTACCATACCCCCCCCCCACTTCCCCCCTCACATATATACCCCACACCACCCCCCAACCCTCCACACTACAACCCACAATACCCCACCCCCAACCCACACCACCCTCTAACTCCCCCATTTCATACTCAACTCCCCCCATCCTCATCATATTACCCAACCATAACATACCCCACAAACCCCATCCCCTCCCTTAATTCACTCTCTAACCCCCCACATCCACCCTACCACTACAACATCTACACCCCCAACCCCTCCCAACACATAACCCATCCCCATTAAATCCCATCACCCCTCTCATCCTCCCCAATAAAACCTACCCTCATCCAATACCCCCATCATATCCTCCCAACATTAACCCCTCCTAACCCATCAACCCCCTTACTACATCCCCCTATATCATCACATCCATATTACACCCCTCCTAAATCCCCTTCACCCTACATTCTACCCTACCACTAACTTCCCCCCCCATCCTTCAAATTCCCTCCCTCCTATTCAATAATCCTACTCCCCCCTCTTCCTCATTAAAACCCAATCATACTATTCCAAACCCATCCCCCCTCAATCCTCACCCCCCCTTTATTTCTTCCAACCTAACTTAAACCCAATTCCCCACCACCTCATTCCCTTCCTACTTCACCCCAACTACATCCATCCAATCCACCCTCCTCCTTCATCCTCTTTAATTCCCTAAACCCTAATCCCCCACCTATTCCACTAATCACTCTTCTTCACACCACCTCCATCTACCATTAACACCCTCCTCATACCACATATCCCCTAACTATCAACTTCTTCACATATCAATCACCCAACCCTACCCTCCCTTCCTCTAATTTCCCCCATCTTCCCACAATCTTCTACCACCTTACCTCTTCCTTCACTCTCCCATCCCTACTCCCCCCCTCTCCCTTCCATTATCCCCCCCCATCAACCCTCCCCCCTTATCAATTCCCCCCCCCATTCACTCCTCCCACACCACTATTCTTTCCCCCTCATTTATTACCTTTACTCCACCCTAACCTCCCGCATAATACCTCCCCCCTTATAAACCATTACATCATTTTTCTAAATAACAATTCAATTTACCTAACAAAACCCCATACCTCATATCAACTAAAACCACACCCCATATAAATCCCCCTAATATCAAACCCTCAACTAAAAAAATACATCTAATCATCCACATATACCAACTTCCTCAAAACACAAACACCTAAATACCACCATTTCTCATCCATCCTTTTTATTTCCCGTTGATGGCGAACCCAACGAACAAAAACACACGCAGGCACATTTACCCTATTACATAACAGGGCTAATTAAAATACAGACTTAAACATACTTTTGCATGTCAACAGACACATACATTCGTATGCTATTTGTCAAAACATAACAATTTGTGCAATTGCCGGTCATACATGTCTGTCTTCCCATGATCAAGCCCTTGATGGTGTGCCTTGCAGTGACGAGAATAAACTATTTAATTAATTCTAAAAGCTCGGATGTCGCTGTCCGAATTGGTTGCCGTTACCATATGGTTGCCACTTCTGTTGTCATGACGCGCTCAATTAGAATCGCTCTGATAACGGAGAGAGGCTTCTTGCATTGTGCGGCGACAGCTATCTGTTCCTATCGAGTAGGAACTTCATGCTTACGAAAAAGCTTTCCGCAGCGTGAGATCCCCTTTGCCAACACAACCGTGGTCTCAAACTGATCACATTGCAAGCAGCTTCAGGTGGCGTGGCAGCTTACTGCACTGCAGGTCCTTTTGGTCCACTTTCATTAACTCATATTATACTCTGGTCTGCGCAAAAATCTACATGTGCTTTGGGGGTCCAGCAACACGAAGCACCGCAAGATTAATGGAAACAGCTTAACTGATTCCTCTGTCCAGGCGAGCGATCAGTCTTCAATGGTATATGCGCCCAGTTGCAATCCACCGCAAGACATGGAGCATAACTGAACGTATATAAGGAGAGCAATAACCATTTCTGGACAGTCTAGCTGCAGCTAGCTCAACGCGCCTTAAAGGCTTGGACCACTGCTCGTTCTCTGGTGCTGTTAAGCGCCGCAAAATATCCCAGCGGAATCAGATTGCGACGAGCTGCGCCATTCTGCCAACCGGCTGCGCAAGCAAAGCCCAACGCAAGCATCGCGAGACGTGGTGGTCTGAGCGTTCTTCCTAGATGGAGACCGCTGCCCTTTCTGGCAACACTCGCAAGCTTTTCCAACTCATTCGGTCTATTGGCCTCAGGAAGCCTGGTGTCAGTGAGGTCATCTGCGAGTGGTATGAGTCGCTGATCACCAACCAACAGGGACGTATGGACCGCTGGGTCGAGCGTTTTCACTTGCAGTTCAACTGGCCTCCACCATCCATCAGTACATGCAGTACAGCTTGTTGTCCACTGTGGCTCGTCCCACTGATTCCGCACAGTAAAGCAGCGGTCTGTCTCGAGATTCCACGCCTGAAGCTGTTCAAGGTCGTCAGTTTAGACTGACTCCCTCCGGAGCTGTTCAAATACGGCAGGGTGGCGATCATTAACCAGCTGACTACGCTGTTCGCAAACAATTGGCATGTAGAGAAAGTGTCTTCCGCTTGTGTCGAATCAGTTACTGTCCCGAGTTTCAAGAAAGGCGGTCACAATTCATTTGCAAATCATTGTGTGATTAGTCTTATTTCGGTTACCTACACGCTATTGACATCCATTCTGCTCCGTGGACTATCCCCAATGCGTGAAGCATCCCACGGTGAAGAACAAGCTGGTTTCCGTTAGGGCCGCGGATGCGTGGATCAAACCCTCACGCTCCGATAGCTCCTCTGACAACGCCACATTTGTCACAGGCCCAGTCTCATTGCATTCCTAGACTTACGTTCCGCTTTTGACTCCGCTGATCGACCTGTCGTATGCCGTTTTTGCTAAAGGAAGGGGTACCAAAGAAATATACCATCTTACGATTACTTTGCCTTCATACTTCCAGCAAAGTAAGGGTCTGTGGCGAGCTTTCCTCGCCATTCGCTGTTAATAGAGGTGGGCGACAGCTTTGCCCTATGTCCCCATTCCTCTACAACTTTGCAATCGAAGACTTCCTGTCGAATGCTCTAGAAGGCTTCCAACATTTTGCCTATAGCCCCTACCGGGTGACCGACTTAGGTTATGCTGATGATATCGCCTTACCTGGTGGTGGTCCACAGGGCATGCAACTCAGTCTGGATCATTTGGCGGTTGAAGCACCCAAGTATGGCATGAGCCTCGCCCCATCGAAGTGTAACGTGCTGCTCAAAGATTGGCTTTCCCCTGCTCCCTTGTTCACTCTCGATGGTACACAACTTTGAACAGGTAGATAGTTTCGTCTACCTTGGGAGTTGTGTTACTGCTGATGGCACTAACAGAAAAGAAGTTTCTCTTTGCATCGCCACAGTTCGATCAGCATATGTCACCCTGAGGCACCTGTGGCATCGTCGCGACGTCCCATTCTTGGTAAATGGTCGCGTTTAGAAAGCATCTGTTTGCTCAGCGTGGTTGTATAGGCGCGAGTCCTTGCCGGTTTGCGTGAAAGACATGCGTTCCCTTTCTGTCTTCGATAGCGGTTGTGTAGGGAGGATTGCTCGTGTTTGGTGGCAACCTTAAGTTAATAGTATTGACGTTCGACTTTGCACCTTGGGAAAGGCGAGTATGCTCTTCAACAAACTGATTTTGCTGAGCCAGTCGTGATGGCTCGGTCATGGCTCACACATAGCACCTGAGCGCCTACGCCTCGCGCTCTATTCGCTCGTTAAGGACATGGCTGAAGACAAATGCTTGGTAGTCATTCTTCTACATGGCGGACGTACATAAAATCGCTGAAGTTGCGACTATCCGTTGTTAGATCCATACGTCTTCCAGGACGGGGACCGAGAGATGAGGAGTGCTAACGGCTTAACACTCTTGAAAACATGACCAACCACCGGAATCAGTGAAAGAATTGTGTACACTGTTGTATGTATTCACAGGTTTAATGCTCCAAACTTTGAAAATGACAAAAGAAGAGAAAAATCGGCGTATTGAAAACAAACAAAAAATGTTTTGTTCTACTTTTTGTCAAAATGTTCGTTTCTTCCTACAGCATATTAGCTGAAATGCGTTGTTCAACTTCATCTACTATGCCGCAATGCTTATAAGGCGATGACGTTCCCTTATTTGCTGATCTCCATATTTTTGTTGGCTCTGTGTCTAGTTGCCAAGCGGCTGAGATTACGTACATACATACATCTCTTCACGCGAGCGCATACATCTAGCACGTATTCCGGGTAACAAGCTAATTGGAATTATGCTCCATAGTGATGTACATAACTTAGCGCGGACGCATGAGCATTCCCATAGTCCTTTATAATAAACATTAATAATATCCACTTATTATTCTGTTTCATTACTATCTCAATCCAATAACCCTGCTTTAAATATGCGGCTATCCCGTAGCTGCATCGATGCGTATTTCATTGTGTCCGCATGCTTTATCTTCGTTGCCGATCTGGAAGCAGGAGTTCGCTACTTAGTAGACAATTTCTGAAGGTAGTGCCATTCCTTGCGATAATAAAGACCAGAATAAATGGGTCATTGGTTTATTGTATGTAGCCAACAGGACTATCAGTTGTATGCAAAAGCGACGCTAGCGTACACTTAATTTAATCCTACGGCGTTACCTCATACGGAAGTTGATTATCTCAAATACTCAGATGCTAATATTTGGCTTTTATTTTTGGAAACACTTCGACGTGTTAGTCGACACTAAGCACGCCGTCGGTTGCCATACGAAACTGACAGTTTTAGTCACGTGGCTCGGACATTAAGTCAACCGAGCTCAACACTTGTGCAGATGCTTCATAACCACTTCTTGCAAACCTTCCGAACAGGGTGAAAAGTTTAAAGCATCAGAAGGACGCCAGCACTGCGTACCGACCCTTCGCGGCCGTGCAACCCCTTAACGGTTGCGGCATCAAACACATGCCGTCAGGTTACAAGACAAGCTCGTTACGCTTGGGCTACGGGATGGGCTTCCAAAGAAGAGCACCGATGTCATCCGCTATTGACGTCGTGAAGCATCGCATCATTAGCAAATGTCAGCATGTGTCCACTAAGGCTAGGTGAACGACACCCGACAATACGAAAATTGCCAGCGCAGAATGCAAGCATACGCCCGTCCAAAAGCTTGTGAGTGTCACCACCTCACCTGGTGCCCTAAAGTCAGGAGACTGGTGTCCGTGTGGTGACTACCGCGCGCTTAATAACGCAACCGTTACTGAAAGCTAGCTTATTGATCACACTCAAAACATATTGGATGGTCTTTGGGCACCCGCGTGCTATTGGAAACCGACCTGGTTCACGCTTGTCACCAGTTCCCTGCTGTAGAGGAAGATAAACCAAAACTGTCATAAGCACACCGCTTGTGGTCTCCGAATTCCTTCGTATGCCTTTCGGCCTTCGAAACCCA